CGGGGGAATATGATTTTACCACAAAAAAATTCGCATGCAAAGAATTTCATCTCCTCCAAGTTTATTGGAAGAGTTTTGTTGATCCCTGTCCCATGTTTTGGAATTGGGGATTTAGAAGAACCACATTCATATCCTTCATTGTATGAATATAATGGACCAGAAAACATTCTTCATTGTCCGCTGGATTGGATATGTTGATTACGTACTAGTGCGACATGAACGTATTTTAGTGTAGAATGGTTGTATACATGATAGTAGAAATATATTAACAGACATTTACCACATTTCACCATTGACTATCACCAATCACCACCCTATACCATAGTGGTATAAGATCGTATATTTGGTCCTAAAATCCCCCCCCCCCCCCAAGAAATTTGTAGATCTAATTGATCACGATAAACCTATTCCTTCTGGGCAAAAATTTTCAAGATTCGAGTTAAAAACGAAGGTGGTGCCAAAGTGGTAACAAATGGTATGAAATTTATTTCTCAAAATATATTAAAAATTCATCTCATTTTGTAAATCACAACGAAACCGTTTGTTTTGTGCAAAAACTTATGAAATTCAAGTTATAACAAAAAAGATAAAAGCCGATTAATAAAACTAGGAAATATAAAATTAAAAAAGTCATTTATTCTCAACCATCATATCGAGCAAACTTAAAATCAAGAGCCCAAATCTGATTATGCAAGGATCATGTTTGCTAGGGTTATTCACCATATCTTAAGCCCAAATATACATAATCAAATGATAAATTTGCGGCTCATAATCACATGTAGAGCGAATCCGCAGCAATTCCAAATCTCGGCCCACATTCTAAAAAAAAGAATTATAAATAGACTGAAAGAAAAAGAAACAGAGCGAGCGACGGTTAGATATAAAAAAATAATAGGCTAATTTACACGTTTGGTTACTCAAATTATAGAAATGTTTCACATTTGCCACCCCAATTATTTTACTTTTTTATTCGTTACTATCTTTATGAATCATTTCAGAGCTAGTCACCGGTCGTAAGTCTCCGTCAAACTCCGTTAACTCCAGCAGTTTTTTTATTACCTAACAAACAGGACTATTGACTGGATCGTTAACTTTTTTTTTTTGTCATTGATAGATTGTGTCATAGATAGGGTATTACATATTGTTGAAAAGTAAAAAACGATAGTCAACCTAATGTTGAGTTACCGATGCAAGGGTCGTTTTTGCCACAAAATTGGCAACTCAGTTAGTATAACTAGGAGCATAAATAAATGAGTAACGCAAAAGAAGTATTAAGGAGACAAACTTCCTGAAGCATCAGTTCGGCGGTTACATACTTCAAATCTCCAATAGATAAAGTTCCAATAGCACAATAGTAGAGTTGATGTGCAACGTATCTTGCAAAAGAGCACATAAACGACCCTAAATGGGCAAAACAAAGTTCTATCACCATTAGGTATCCATCAGAGATGCTCCACAAGCTATACGAACTACTACGCCTGAAAAATAAAAAGAAAGAAACTGCAGCCAAGTAAACTCACTGAATCATTGCACTCTTGTGCCCAAAAGGAGATAAGACAAAGTCATGTGCCCTCCCCCGGTGCTTCAGCAAGGATGGAGACTGTAAGTGAAGCGGTTCATCTAAAGTGGGGAGTGAAAGAGAATGAAAATACGTTGAGAACCAACAGAAACAATCAAATAGCATTTGCAATACCAGCCTCGTGACTAATTATTAAAAAAATCTGGCACCAAAATAGTAATGCAATTCTTGTTCAAACTTATAATAAACAACATTGGACACCCATCTAAAAACCAAATTTCAATTAAAGCAACAATAGTTGACTGCACTAACAAGGTACCACGAAAAATTTAGAGAAATTATATAGCAAAATTTTTAATAAAATAAGAATTGCGAAGGCAGTAGACATGTAGTGGGGTTCTCGACATATCAAAACATTATTTCCAAAAATAAGGCATAGTTAACATAAAAAAACAAATAGTAATAAATAAGAAAATAAAATTGAAAAGTAGAAAACGTGTCTGAGATATAACTGCACACAAAAATGAAATTGCTCCTCAATAGCCTTCCCGTCTACCGGCTGGCAAGAAGCCTTGTCATACGAGTAAAGACTGCAATACATTGACACCCTTGCAAAAAGATAGTCACCACTGCCGAAGTCCTCTACCACCTTAATTCTCTCCCGCTCTTCGACCTGCCACACTTTCCCTCCTCGAACCTAAATCTGAAGGAAATCCAGCTCCCTCCCAGTCCCAAAGGCCTGACTTTGGCCACTACAAAAACAACGCCACCAACGAGAAATAAGAGTTCCTGATATTAATGTCACTTTCTCAACCGGAAATGGAATCATTCCCTTCTCGGAACGGGAACCTCAATCTGATGCTTCGTTTATTGATTTCATATATATGCTTTCATCTTTGGGGACTTAGGGGTATGTCGTAGATGGGAATTAGGATTCGACACTTTTACGTGTGAATCTTCTGTTGGGGCAGTGCACGAGTGACGTGTTAGCCCTGGTGCACCAAAGAATTTCTCAGGGGTCGTTTGGATGAGAAATTGTAACGGATCAATTTGACACAATTGTCTCGTTTTGAGACAATTGTACCAAATTGTCTCGTTTGCCAACAAAAAATTTGGATGGATCAATCTGCCCGATGTATTTTGAATTGACCCGTTTTAAGTCAATTTCAATTACCTGGGGTGAGGCAGGTAATTCGAATTGACTCGTTTTAATTGCCTCGTTTATAAAACGAGACAATTGATCAAATTAACTCATTTCTTGATTGATCCATCCAAACCAACCTTCAAGGAATTGTGTGATTTCATGCAATAATGCATCCCATTTTTCCTGAATATTTAATTTCAGAGGTTAGCTAGTAATGGGAGGATGAATCACTCGAAATTTCCAATTAAAACTTCCATTTTTTTCATCCGGATCTCCAAATTACTAATTTCCTCAAGTTACACAAACCAGATTTTTTCAGCACTACCTTCTAGAGTCGACACGCTCGAAGCTTCAAGAAATCAAATTTTTTTAAGACAACGAAGAACCCACGATGACGAGGACTCCTACCCGGCGGCCGAAGGAGAAAATGGAAGCGAGGGAGAGAGCGAGGCCCATCACTATGACCACTTTCACTTGCCCACGCTTAGGCATTGGGTGTCACGATAGTCTCCTCCTCAACGAAGATACATTGCTTTTGTGGCATGAACCTGAGCCAACCATCTCTGATTTGGGTTTTAAACTTTAATTTGCCACCAGTGATGAGAGGAAGAAAGGAATTGAGATTGAAGGTGTTTTGAGTTTGATTTTGAGATTGTTTGGTGTTTGTGTATTTTGCCGAATTAGGTTTTTCTGGGTTTCATGAAGGGAGCAGCAAGTGGAGGGGAGCGGCGGCGGGCGGCGACAAGGAGCCTCGGAAGGGAGTGACAACGATAAGTGGAGGGGAAGAAGGACAAGTAGAAGGTTAAGGTGGCAAATAGATTGGATCCATGGATTATATGGATTGGATCAAATGAATTGATGGATTGGATCAAATGTATTGGTGGATTGATCTATGAATCCAAATGACATCAAGTCTTCGGTCATTATGTAAATTTTGAAAAGTTAAGGTGCCAAAATGTTATAATGAAAATTTTTAGGTACCAAAACATAATTTTCATCTTAAGAACCTAAATATAAAATATAAAAAGTACAAGTAATAAACTATAATTTGTCATTTGGATCCACGGATCAATCAATGAATTCACCAATCCAATTGGATCTGGATCAAATGTGTTTGATTTAAATGAATTGGTTTAGTTGGATATTTAAGTGGATGGATAGGATTGGATATTGCTATGCTACCTCTAGGTAAGAGGAGAAGAGAAGGGTTGGGGTTTTAATTTTTCACTTTTTCTTTTTAGCCGTTAAAAATGTACAAGAAAATTAAATAATATATTTTGGTCAATTGGGTTGGATCGTGGCCTTATGTAGGCTGGAAGTTTGGTACCGGTATTTGGTATATACCGAATACCGTACCGAATTTGTTTATATTTGGTATAAAAAAATACACGTATTATTTATTAGGATTGGGATTGGGATTGAGTTTCAATTGTTATTTGGTATTAGGGATTACGGGATTATGATTGGTATATACCAAAATACCGATCAATACCGAAATATAAGCTAGTGTGTATTTATCCTCTCAACTAGACTCTCTCATTAACTATTACATGACCCTCAACCACCAAGAGTGTCATTTAATTATACATAGATCATTCCATCACTATTTCAGAACTTAGAAGTTCTCATTCAACTCAAATTTGACTTTCCAATTTAAGTCACTCTCGTTTTCAACTAATATCTCTTGTTATTTTCATTACACCAAAAAGCAAAAACTAGTATTAATCGTCTCTCAACCTCCAATTCATCAAATTAAAGATTATCAATTACAAGAACTTGAGATGTAACATATCCTCCATTCTCCATATCCATATCCTAACTCTAGGAAAACTCAATACTCTTTGGTTAGTCTCTTTGCTCTAAATTAAACAATAAAATCTAATTTATATATTTATTTTTTTATTGCAAAGGTAATTAATTTCGTAATCGGTAATACCGATTGGGATACCGAAGTACCGATTGGGATACCGAAATATTTAGCAATTGTGATTGGGATACCAAAATTATTTAGGGATTGAGATTGGGATTGAGTTTAGGATGTAATTCGGTATTCAGGATTTCGATATTTGGTATTGGGATACCGATATCGTACCGATTTCCACCCCTAGCCTCATGGGTGAGGCTGATTAGGTGGTCAATTTGCATGATTTAAATGTTTCTGTCAACATACTAAGCAATTTTGTCTGTCATATCATTAAAATCTTAGGGTGTTAACGGAATCTGACGAAAACAGATGACTAGTAACTAACGGTGAAATTATTCGTAAAGTTAGTTACACATAAGAAAGAAAATCTTTTTGGGTGGCAAATGTGTAAAGTTTGTATAATTTCAGTGACCAAAAGTATAATAGAAAAAAAATAATAATAATAAAGGAGAGGAGAGGAGATTTCAACTTCCCTCTAAAAGTGCTCTCATCCCCTCCCAGTCCCCCGCTTCTCCGCTCCCTCCTTCCCCGCCTACAGATTCAATTTCCTCTTCCGTCCCAAAAAGCTTCTTCTTCTCTCTTTGCTGACTTTACTCCCATCAGCAGCGGCTGTTGCCCTCTTCAGTCTCATCTGGAGGCCGCGCATTTCATAAGCGGGGTTGCTTTTCTCTCGTTAAAGGGTTACGAATTTTTCGCATGGTAGCGGTACGTGGCATTTCTTGTTTCCGTTTGAAAATCCTCTCTTTCCTGTCGCTTCCCCCCATTTTCTCTTCCCGCTTCATTGGAATGGCATACTGCTCCAAAAGATTCAGTCTTGGCTCTTGGGTACTGAATGCTCGTTGTAGTTACTGGGTATCGATTGTTTTGTGCAGATTTAGGGTTTCGAAAGTGGCGGGAGTAATTTTGAGTTCTTTTTCTCCATTTTGATGAATTGGGTCTGTGAAGAGTTTCACGAGGGTAGTAGGAGTAGGGTTTTGGGTTTTGAGTTTGAGAATGGGAATCTTCCTCCTTGAGGATTACGCTGAGTTGCTTTTTCTTCGGTGGTCCGGAATTGTGGTTTACTCGGTTAGACGAATTTCTTGAAGCATGTCTTAACTATGCATGCCTCTTTAGGTCTGGATTTTGAGAATTGGGTAATTTGGCTTTCAATTCTTCATATAATTTTGGCTTTTGATATGCCTGATAGTGTCTTTTGAGAGAAATTCAATTGGATTTTAGGACAAGTTAGGCAGCCAGATAATTTTTGTTCGTTGCTGATTTAGATACTTTTGCAGAATGTGTGATCCAGGTTGGTATGAGTTTCTTTCACGGTCCTTCACGCCATCATGCTACCTGTATTTGTGAATATTGTTAGTTACTGATAAATGATTGTTTGCACCCTATGATAATAGGATCAAACAGGAGCAATATTTTCTGCAGGACCGACTACCAGCTGTAGGTTGTTCCACGTATCTTGGATTTCATCTTAATATGGAAGCCCAAATTCATCACCTCGAGCAAGAAGCTTACAGTGCAGTGCTACGTGCTTTTAAGGCTCAATCTGATGCTCTTACCTGGGTACTGATATCCGTTCCCACTATATACCCACATTTTTATGAAAAAAGAATAATTTGACCTTGAAGTTGTCTCATTTAGATGCCCTCTCTTGTATTTTCAGGAAAAGGAGGGTTTGATTACTGAACTTCGCAAAGAGCTCCGGGTATCAGATGATGAGCACAGAGAGCTTCTCTCCAGAGTTAATGGGGACGATGTCATCCTTCGTATAAGGTTTGTATGCTTCTTGTCTACGGCTGGACCCATGCAATTATAGTAGTCTGAGTAAATGGATCATGACTTGCTGCTATTTCAGGGAATGGAGAACTACAGGTGGGAATGAAGCTACTAGGTTTGTCCCACCAAGAGGTCTTGACATGGTACCCAGCCCTACCATCTCCGGTGCCCGTAAAAGACAGAAGATATCTCAAGGGGTATTTTCCTTTGGATTGATATGGTTTCCTTTGATTTAGAATCAATTGCTCATAGCCAGGTTCTCGATTAACTTTCATTTTGTTGTGATTTTTGCTTTACAGGGTCATGCACTTCCTACTTTATCCTCTGTGAAGGCTATGCAGCTCCCCTCACAGTTTGCTACTCGACCTAGGTACTTTACTACACACAACTCCCGCAGTTCTTCTGGTGCACCTGTGGTTGATGAACCTCCTGAGGCACTGCTCGGACGAAAGGTTTGGACTAGATGGCCTGAGGACAACCACTTCTATGAGGCTGTCATAACTCAATATGACTCTTCTCAGGTATGTACTAGAATCTAGAACTGTTGCTTTGATGGTGCTGTAATTCTTGATGGGATACATATATTGCTATATATATTCATGCGTGTAGGCCTGCTGTAAATGTGTTAAGTGAATAAGGCTGCTGGAATTTAGGAAGAAGTTCATGAAATTATGGGTTGAAGAACTGCGACACCAATGTGTGATTATGTCCGGTAGCTCTGCACCACAACCTAGGTTGATATGACTATAGAATGACGAGGACCAACTCTTGCAAATTCTCAAAATGTTCGATTGAAATCTAATATGACCTCTCATTACCATAGAACTAACCTCCTTAAACAGGAGTAACAAACTTAATACACAACTACTTTTTCTAATAATAATTTCCTTATATAGTGACTAGTGGAATGTTATCTGATTGGTTTATGTGAGTCCCTTACCTTGACTGTTCTAAACGTGATTAAAGCCTTCCTTAGTAAGTCATATACCAGTTCCCTGCTCCTCAAATGTTAATCCTAATCAATTAACTGTTTGCTACTACTGTTTTTTGTGGCTTCTCTGTGTTTTTGTTAACTAAAAATTTCTTTTTAATATTTAATGCTTGAAGGCCCGGCATTCTCTAGTGTATGATATGGGCACGAAGAACGAGACATGGGAGTGGGTTGATCTGAACGAGGTGATTAACAGTGCTGAGAATAATCCAGACCTCTACTATCATTTATTTTGTTTGTCAGGCTTTTCTATGGTTATTTCCAATCTCTCTTTCACGTTGAATTGGGAAAATATGTGCATATTTCTGTTGGCAGATATCTCCAGAGGATATACGATGGGACGGAGAGGATCCAGCAATTCTGTATCGTGGTGGACAAGGTGGCGGTGGTAGCCGAGTGATGAGGAAAACCATAAGCCATGGCGGTTTTATCCCACCGGGCTCCATTCCAGTGCAGGGTTATCGAAAGTTCCCCTCCAGAAGGGAGCTTTTAGCAGCACGCAATGGCTTTGCTGCAAAAGTTTCTGATGATATTGAATTACTGAACACCGAGACACTAGTTAAGGAGGTAACAAAACTGGAACTCTTGAGTTTTTCGACACAAGTTTACACCACTAATTTGCTCCCTCATCTTTATCTGATCTTTTTTACAGGTTGAAAAGGTTTTCGGAGTTAGTCAACCAGATCCAATTGAGCTTGAGAAAGCCAAAATGATGCTAAAAGTATGATTGATTTCTGTGCCTACAGTATTTTTTCTTACTATTTTATGCTCGCTGGCTGAAAACTTGTGGTTTTTCTATGATGTAGGAGCAGGAACAGGCACTTTTGGATGCAATCGCAAGGCTTGCAGATGCATCTGATGGCGAAAGTGGTAAATAGCTATGTTGGTTGTTCTCTCCATTTTGGCATAAGTATATTAAGTAACAACTGACTTATTCCTACTTAAGCGGTGTTACCCTATACCTTTCATTTATAAGATCATATTTCAAATTCATTGAAGTAATGTGTTCGCCTCTTTCAAGCTTTGGTTTTTTTTTTGGTTCTGGGTATTTTCTGGCGCTCACATCCTGACTTCTTATCTGGACTTCCAACGTCTTGAACATCTTGGGGGTGAACTATATCCCAAGATAAAGCTTCGGGGTTTAAAATTAACGAACTCGTTATCAAACTGCATTGTAATTGGATACCTCATGTAGATTGCATGAATGCACTTGAAGCTCGTATTAATTTCCTGACAGAGAAGGAACATGTCCCTCTTGATATTGTTTTATAAACCAAGATGTTTTTGTGTTGGAATCAGACGGGGAACAGCACTTCTTACACGGGCAACCAATGGAGCGTTAGTGTGGTTTGAAGATACCATTTCACAGGAGTCAGAAAAGATGTCTTGCTGAAAGCAGCACCTGATGAGGCTGTAGAACTGGAAATTGAGGGAGAAGGAAAAGGTTAAATCAACCATCGCTGGTGGTTGGCTGCCAGTTTTCCTTTAATCTTCTAACCTGTTGGATTGTAAAGAATTTCCTCTGTTTCCTTCCACCTTGTATCATATTCATACCTCTTCATTTCCATTTAACATCTTGTTCTGCAGAACGAGATTTGTAGTTAGGATTAGTGAGGATAAGGAATGTTCAGGGGAAACCTTCGCTAATCTAGATTTGTACAACTGCCCATGGCTCGCAATAGAGAATTTGACCTAGAATCATTCTGATATAAGCTGAACTCTATAATGCCTCAGATATAACTCTGTTTTTCTCTTAACCCAGAGCCCAAAGAGCGTTACTTCCATTCCATGATCGAGTATTGCAACTTTCATACAGGAAAAGAAAATGTCAATCAGTTTTATAGCGTTTCATGGAACTCTACAATCAAATTGACCATGACGGAATCAAAAGCAGGGCCTTCTACTTCAAAATGACCAGCTCCTTGTATTAGATGCATCTCTGCTCTGCCATCGCAGCTCTTCACCTTGCTCTTCAGCTGCCGCACGCTCGTGAACCAGTCTGCACTCCCCATTATGAACAGCTTCGGCTTCCTCGCCTTCAACGTTGGCTTGTAGTGCTTTCCGAACAGAAACGAAGCTGCCAAGCCGAAAGGATAGCCTATGCTCACGTATCCCACTACTTTCTCCAGGTGATCCAGCGCCGAGCCAGCTATTGGAGCTCCTACGAACATAAATCAAACGAGACGAAACAGAGTAAGGGTTCCCAATCCTCGACGAATCAAACAGCGCCGCGCGACCAATTGATACGCGGTGTGTGCAGTAATGGGTAGAGAGGTACCTGCGGATGACCCGACAAGCAAGATCCTGTCGACAGGCAAGTTGTCGGAAACCCAATTGCAGACAGCGACAACATCCTCGATTTCGGGGATTCCGGTGATGGAGGACTTGCCGGTTGATCTCCCGACACCTCTCATGTCGAATGTGACCGCGGTAAGCCCTTTGATGGAGAGCCTGGAGGCAATGCCGTGCATGATGACCTGGCAGCCGCCGAGTTTTGAGTAAGGATGGACGAGAACCACCGCGGTGGCGGCTTGGGCGGAGGCGGAAGGGGAAGGGGAAGGTTCAGCGGTGGTGGGGGTGGGCTTGAAGAGCCTGGCATGGAGAACGATCCCGTCTCGTGTGGATACGAAGCATGACTCCATGGCGCTCCTCGGAGGTGTCATCGGTGACGACGAAGAGGAGCCTCTGGAGAGATTCGAGAGGGCTGTCGCCATGGATTCCCCTTTTTTTTTTTTAATATGAAATGTTACATGGAGAGGTGTTGCGTTCTTTGGGGTGGTTTTGAGAGGTTTTTGCTGTTGTTCAAGGATGGCGGGAAGGGAGTGGGTTAAGGATGTTTGGTTTGGAAGGTTTGGTGATGATATTATATGGGTTCTATTCTAAATTTCTAATACGGGGCAGGATGCTAAACAGTTGATTAACGGATTGTGCTATAAATTGGTTTCTACATCTAATGTGAGGGAGAAACTGACTGAACAGATTGTGTTGGTTTCGAGGGGAAATTAGGCACGGGAATTTGCAAGGCTAGAATGAGGATTTAGTGAAGTTAGAAGAACATGTAGGTACAAATAGAAGCGGATGTTAGCTTAACGATTTTGTTTTAAGGAAAGGAGCAGGCATTCTATAAAATGAAAGAAAAGATAGAGATGAACATTTCAATTTTATTCCTTATATAGTCTAGGTTTTTATTCGATCACTTTGGTTGTTTGCATTCAAGGGAATTAAATATTTTCGAAGCCAATACTTACATTTTGAGAATTAATATCAAATCGTATTTTATTACATTCGATTTGACTCAAATATCAATTATTGGTGTGAATAACACTCTTGTATATACTGCCTAGTTGTTTTGGATCGTTCATAATGAATTCCTAAAGACATATTTTATCATAGAGAGCACTTCTACTCTGATCTAAAGCATTTGTACTTTAATGTACAACTTGAAATTGTACCATAACGTTAAATGTATAAGTTCAAGTGGTACCATTACCATAAAAGCTTTTGTACAAAAGAGTATAGGTACAATCCGAAGTTGTACCCTAACGTTAAAGATACAACTTCAAGTTGTACCATTAACACAAAAACCTATAGCACCAATTCTATATAGCATTGTAAAAAAATTTCATCCTTGTGTTATATAATATCATAATTTTGTTTCAATTTCAATACAATTAATTCAATGTTTAAAATAAAGGAGATTAATATTCAAGTCATTAGAAAAAATTGAAAAAGGGCAAATAAAATAACAAAGATTATTAAAAATGTCTGGTTTATCTTTAGAATTCACATAATTCTCTCTTCTTTGTCTCCTTATTTGAGATCTTCTTTGCTCACTCGAGAAGCTTATGTTGTGCTATAATCTGACCCTTAAATGAATCAGAACCATAAATGCTATTGGGGGAGAAATATCACATAAAGAGTCGCTCTCTCTCTTCCTTTCCTCTTTTTTCAAACGCTCTTACCTCTCTCTAGCTTCCTTTTTATATGGCGCTGGGGGTGCCGCCAGTTTTCACTCTTTTGGTGACCGGCAGCTACCAAACGCCCTCCTTTGACTTTCCTGCGATTTTTCTTTTTCCCCAAACCCCTTGACTTTCCTTTTGTCTTCGTCGTTCATCTACTTCAGCCATCCTTTTTCCGGGTTCTTTTCTTGGTTCTCCCTTTTGTTTCCATATGTGTTTTTTCTGTTTTTCCGGTCATGTCTTGGCTCTCTCTTCCCCTTTGTGGTTTGTTTCGTTGCCCTCTGGCGGGTTTCCTTTGCCCCCTTTGTGGGTTGATTTTGTTGTCCTCCGATCTGGTTTCCAGATCTGGAGATTCTTGTCTCGTTCAGGATACGATGGAGGTTGGATCTGACAGATCTGACTTGTCGTCTCCTCTCCTCTTCTTTGGTCTACCTCCTTGTTTTGCCTTGCAGTTCTTGGCGATCCGGAGATGCAGCCCTTGGTGAGGACTCAGATGGGAGAGCTTGAAGACTGGTTTATTCAAACTCTCTACCTCCATCGGCCGTCCGGTTGTTCCGCTCGATTCTCGTGGTGATCGGCGAGATGTGTATTGCGATCGGCTCGGGGATAAGATGTTTGGAGGTTTTTTCTTCCTCATCTTGCCTTTCCGGGTCTGGTGGGTACACAAACCATAGCTTGGCTCGCGGCGCGCTCACAGGATGGGTGGCGGCGACTTGTCGGGAGCGGCGGTGGTGCTCAGCTGTGGCGGCGGAGGTCCAGAGAGGGCACGTTGGTGGCTAGGGTTTGGGAAATGCCCTAACTTGTTTTGGCTCTGGGCCTGACCCTATTGGGCTTCCGAGTTTGTCTTTGAGCCTTGTTGTTTGGGCTTTTTTTCTTTTCCTTTCAGCAATTGTTTGCCTGTACACTTCCCTTGTGGGCTCGGCCCAGTCGTTTTATCCTAATGAACACATCTTTAAAAAAAAAAGCCATAAATGCTATTTATATTAGATTGTGAAGGAGTACTAATCAAATTGATGAGGCAAAGTTGAACCTTATCACTTCAACATCAACACCAATATATATACAGGAGAGCATATGGCAATTCTGCGATGTAAGCTTCCGGTAAACAACAGAATAGGTTAGGGTGGTTACTACTGTTTTAGTAGCCACCGTGCCTATCAAAATCTATACCCTTACGGTGAAGATTAGATAAAGAGCAGTTTTGGAATCGAAAAATATACCACACCTAATTACTATATTTTAAAAAATGGATTTCTATATATTATACCCTAACTCTACTGCAATCTCATTCCCCGTCGCCGGAGACACCCATTCCCGGCCTCCGCACCCACCGGCTCCCATATCTCCACCTCTCTCTCGGCTGTCATCTCACTCACTCTCTCTCTCTCAACCGCATATATTCCTCTTCCTCACGCCTCTAGCTACTGGGTTCTTTTTTGGGTCCCCATTCCCCAAACCCTTTTCTTCTCTTCAAATGCACCATGGTTGCTACTAGGTTCTTTTTTGGGGTTAGTATATGGTGGCTTAGCTGCCTCCCTCATTCTTCCTTAGTGAAGAGGCGAAAAGCAACAATATAATGGGATCAGATGATAACAGCTCGCAAATCTCGATCTCTCTCACCTGAGGCACAACGTCAAAGAGGCGACGGAAGACAACGACAATAGCATCGGCGAGGAGGTACGCAAAAGAATCGGAAATTGAATGAGCTCTCTGCATAAATAGTATTGTTTGTTTTATGAAATGGTAGTATTTTGCATGTTTTGGTATTGATTTCTTATTTTGCATTTAGGAAACCATATTTATAAGTTATTTACAGCGAAATAAAACTGCCCACCTCTACATCAATTTATGGGCCGTTCATTTCGGCCCACTAATGCAGACGACATCCCACTAGGATAAATAAAGCAGCAGGATGTTATTTGGGAGATGTTATTTTTGGGCTGTTCTCTTTCTTCCTATATTGCAAATTTGGGAGATGTTATTTTTTAGGATTGGAGCCCAAAATTATACCTGCATAACCATCACTTTTGGATTTTATACAATAATAGCCACTATTGGAGAAATACACAAAATAGCTCATTTCGTCCAATTCTGTAACGATGTCATCCAATAGGCTTACTGGAGTAACGTGTTTTTGCTGACTTGGCACATTTTAATTAGCTTTCTTGCATGGATTTTTTTGTCCTTTTATTCAAATTGAGTTAAATGAAAAATCATTAAAAAATAAGTGTCCATCACCGCCTCCTCTGTCATTTATCTCCCTCAACCCCCATTGCCAATCCCTACACAACCACAATCCCAAACCTCTCTCGCCTGGCCTCGTCGCTGTCTAAGTGGAGTTCCCAGACCAGTAGGCAGAACCTCTGGTTCTGCAAACCGTCGATGCTTCCCTATGCCTTTTCAACCAACAATTCTCCATCCTCGACTATGGGCTCGCACTATGCAATTGGTCAGAAAGAAATTTCCAAAGTTGTTCCTTCTAGAAAAGAAAAGAGCAACAACATAAATATGTCGGAGCTTAAGCAGACAACAAACAGAGTGCGACATCCTGTGAAAGAAACCCGGTCCAGGGGATGTAAATGCGCCAGAAATTAGGAAGGCCTGATAAGTTGTTTCCATGCATCTCATGTTGCCACTTCCCTTATTGGCAAGTGCTTCAAACTCAAGGAACTGGAAGCCTGACAAGTTGTTTCCATGCATCTCACTGATCTCTGAAACAATGCCTCTGAAACCAGAGCCGTTCTCACCTCAGCCACCATTGAGAAGTTCTACTCAATCGATTCCAATAAAAGTCAACGCCGTCATAAGTCGCTTCGATTTGCTCTCCATTTGTAAGAAATTGCCTTTCCTGGAGATTGTCGCAATCAATGCAATCAAAATCATACTTTAAAGCAAAAGCTTATGCTTTTACCTTTCTAAGTCACCAAAACGCTTCTACGTAGAATCATGTTTTCCCCTTAGAAGTGTAGTCAAAATCTATGCTTTAAAGTTTACGATTTTACACTTCTAGGTCACCAAAATGCTTCTATGTGGAATCACACTTTTGACTGCATTGGCCCAATCGTCAATAAAAGATGGATCGACACTGGGTTTGGAGATAAGTCAATGACGAGGAGTGGCAGTCGCAGATGGAGCAGCCACCGAAAAACCTAGAAGCAAAACGACGAGCAGAGAATGACTTACCCAGAACCCTCTGTTATCCAAATTATGGATCTGGAAAAATTGAGAACATCGATCTTCACTTTCGCCCTGCACAAACCCTAACACCAACACGACACATAAATCCACAGCCTCCACCCAGAACAAAAACATCTCGTTCCTCTATGGGATCCACCTCCTCTTCCACCACTATTACATGTCTCGTCGGAGTCGATTCGATACTGGTGGAACAAGAGAACGACTAGTCGATTGAGATTGCAAAGGCAATGAGTCGCCGATCGGTCTTCTTAACCCTCTTCATTTCCAATATCGACCACCGCCCCCTCCTACGCCGCCTCGCCGTTGCCGCCATCGACGATCTGTGTGAAGAACCACCCCCTCTGACGATTAAAGCAAATTGGTTGGCAGAGGTCAAACAGTGAGAGAACGAAGAGACGATGGTATAAAAGGAAAAAATTAATTAATATTTTTAAATTAAATTATGACATGGAATTTACTTGGCTAGTGAAGTGGAGTTGTCGATGATTTATGCATCGAGTTGGCATTCTAGTCAGTGTACCGTCAACCTAATTGACGTAATATCTAACACCGTTAAAATTTTGTAACAGAAATGACTAAATTTATCAAACAACTATCCAAAATACTATGTACTTTCTGAATTCTCAAAAAATGATTATTATTGTCACAAACATAAAGTTTCGCTTATGCAAGTGTATTTTACCTTGTGTTAATTCCCTAGTTTGACCCGAAATTTAGCGTAAGT